GCATCCACCTGAGGCATCCACCTGAGGCATCAACCCGGGGCATCCACCTGAGGCATCCACCTGAGGCATCCACTTCTGGGAGTCCTCTTGGGGCCTTCCAGCTGGGTAGGCCACAGGCGCCGCCAGCTGCAGGATGGGTCGCCGTCTTGCACGAAATGATGCAACTTCTATTCTTGCAGCTCAGAGCGACGGGATGGGGTGGGGGGTGGGGGGGTGGGGGTGGGATGGGAGATAAGGCGGGAGGCAGGAAGAGAGGGACGAAGCAAGGGAAGGGGCAGGGGGGGGAGAGAGGGAGGAAGGGAGGAGGAGAGTGGAGAGAGGGGGGGAAAGGAACGAGAGGGAGAATAGGGTAGGAAGGGAGGGAAGGAAGGAGCGAAAAAGGCAGAGAAGTGAGTAGTAAGGGAGGGAGGATAGACGACAGAGAAAGAGAACATACAGAAACTCCAAATAAAGAGGAGGAAGTTCGCAGCGACAGCGGCGGCGGATGGTCCGCCGAAGGACCTACGAAGGACCTCCCAAGGACTGCCCCAGAGCCTCCCTAGGGCCTCCCCCAAGGGCCTCACAGCAGCTCTGTCCACAGCAGCGACTCCAACGTTGGCGGGAAAATCCGAGCGAGAAATTCCCTGTCGTATTTAGTGGTTGTAATTTGATTGCTAACCTCTCTTCAATAATAGGATTTTAAGGTCGGTCTCCAGAGTCCATTTTCCTATCTCGGTTTTTTTTTTTTTTTTTTCCTTTTTTTTTTATTTGTCGATTTGAGGGTTGAGGAGATTTGCGGAGAAGGAGAGCTACCACATTGCAAGGGGGGAGGAAGGGAGGGGGGGAAGGGAGGGAGGCGGGAAGGGAGAAAGGGACGGAAAGAGAGAGAAGGAGGAGGAGAAGAGGGAGGAGTCAAGGGTGCGGGAGGGGGGGAGAGATGTATGGGTAGGGGAGCGAGGAGAAAAAGAGGAGGAGTAGAGGGAAGGAGAAAAAGAGGAGGAGGAGGAGGGGGAGGAGGAAGAGGAAGAGGAGAAAAAAAGAGGAGGAGTCCATGTCAAGAGGATGACGTCATCGCGGCGTCGGAGCTGAGGCGACCGGGTTCTTTGGGCGCGATTTCTGCGCGATTTTTCTGACGTCGGGGAATGTTAGTTTTTTTCTTATTTATTTTTCTTATTTTGCTATCGTTTAATTTTTCCTCCCCTCATTCGTTATCTCTGTCTTTTACTCACTCTGGCAGTTCTGTATGTGTATCTGCCTGTCTCTATCATATTTATTATATAAAATATATATTATAGATAGATAGATAGATAGATAGAATGCTGTAGATATAGGTATAGCTAGATGGATAGTCACACATATTTTATATAGCTATATATGATATATAGAGGGATAGATAGATAGTTAGAAAGAAAGATAGCTGTAGATATAGATACTGATAGTTTAGAGATTGACACCTCTCTCTCTCTCTCTCTCTCCCTCTCCCTCCCCTCCCTATCTCTCTCTCTCTCTCGCTCTCTCTCTTTCTCTTTCTCTTCTCTCTCTCTCCCTATTCTATCTATTTCTCTTCCCTTTTGTTTTTATAGTCCGTCCTTCCGGTTTACACACATTTCGAGTTTTCTTTGCGTGTTTCCCCTCTTCTAATTTTCTGTCTTTCCTTCGCATGTCATTCGTCCCCTTCTGCTCCTTCCCTTTTCGCTGGTTGTTTCTTTCCTACTCTTCCCTATTCCTTTATTATCCAATTCCTCGTCTGCCCTCTTTCCGCCTCTGTGCATTTCTCTCCATTTCACCTCCAAAAGCGAGGCTCATCCACATGGCGGTCCCCCCGGGGCATCCACCTGAGGCATCCACCTGAGGCATCCACCGGGGCATCCACCTGAGGCATCCACCTGAGGCATCCACCCGGGGCATCCACCTGAGGCATCCACCTGAGGCATCCACCCGGGGCATCCACCTGAGGCATCCACTTCTGGGAGTCCTCTTGGGGCCTTCCAGCTGGGGTAGGCCCACAGGCGCCGCAGCTGCAGGATGGGTCGCCGTCTTGCACGAAATGATGCAACTTCTATTCTTGCAGCTCAGAGCGACGGGATGGGGTGGGGGTGGGGGGGGTGGGGGTGGGGCTGGGGCGATAAGGCGGGAGGCAGGAAGAGAGGGACGAAGCAAGGGAAGGGGGGGGGGAGGGGGCGGGAGGAAGGGAGGAGGAGAGGGAGAAGGGGGGAAAGGAGAGAGGGAGAGATAGGGAAGGGAGGGAAGGAAGGAGCGAAAAAGGGAGAGAAGAAAGTAGTAAGGGAAGGACGTAGACCGACAGAGAAAGAGAAACAAACAGACACACAAATAAAGAGGAAGGAAGTCGAGCGACGGCGGCAGGCGATGGTCCGCTCAGGACCTACGAAGGACCTCCAAGGACTGCCCCAGAGCCTCCCTAGGCCTCCCCAAGGTCCTCACGGACAGCTCTGTCCACACAGCGACTCCAACGTTGGGCGGGAAATCCGAGCGAGCAAATTCCTCCTGTCGTTTTTAGTGG